AATCAAATAGATATCTACCATAGTTAATAACAAACCAAATCTTTAACAGAGTAGTAGCTACTGTTCTAGTATAGTAAAGATAGTTAATCAAATAAGAAAGGATCAACATTTGATTTTTCATGTATATATTAAATCGATCAGCAATACTCTAGAATCTCAAATACAATTAAGACCAATTGTAAATGGGCTAGGGCATTTGAAGTCCACCAAGATAACTACTACTACTGCCCATCAACAATTGCAATCAAAATAGCGATCACCTATATCCAAAAAGGGCTCCGCCCGCTAACTCAAGTCTAAAATGCAGCGGAAAATCAAACGCATGCTAAGTATAACAAAAAGGCCCTAAAGTTTGGCAATATACATCAGTCAAATCATGTATATCAAAATAGAGGCTATACAGAGTTGAAAGGAAAACTCAAGCCTCGGACACCTTCTCCTTGGGACCAACACCTGAACCCTCGCCTGAAAAATGTTAAATAACCACGGGGTGAGTCAAATTGACCCAGTAACCATAATTCCAATTCAACAAGTATCCAGGGAGTGATTACAAGATAGCTAAGCGGGCAAAGTACAACTTCAAATAATATATAAGTTAAACATCTTTACAGAAAACAATATATAATAATTCACAAAGTAACTTGCATGCATAGAACTTCATCAACCATCCTTATAACCTCCTTGTAACCTCTGACAGAACCCATGGGCTATTCACACATAACACGATTCATCTCTTTTACAAGACTGCACCAAGCTCTCCAATAATGAGGTGTAACTCGGCCAAAAGTTACAGAGCTCATATCGGACCATGGGTTCCCTTTCCTTGGAATATGGAAAGGTGTCATGTCCTTTGGGCTGACCCTTGACCCGGCCAAAGAAAGGGTGATACCGAGAGCCCTAAGAATGTTAATGCCAACCACTGGGCGCCAAGTGGCGGCTATACCACGTGGTATAATTAATCAGACCTCCCACAACTACATTTCAGCACAACCAACACAGCCCAATCCAACCATCCAATTCCACACAATTTCATATCCATAAAGTATTCTCAGATTCAATCATCAAATTTGTTCAACATCAACAAGATATTCATAAGATGAAATAATTCATGTCCACTTAACTAATAAATTTATCAAAACATAAATCTTGATTTAGATATATAAATTACTTTTCATACAAAAACCACCATAACACATCTTGATAACATTTATAATATCAACACATGCTTATAATCACATCAACAAGCATACAAGGTAAATTAGAAAGTGGTTACCTCAAGTTCTTGACACAAGAACTAAAAGTAGGAGGATTCAAGACCCAAGAGCCCAAACCAAGCTCACTCTACAATAATAAATTGATAAACATATATTAATATAAAAAGACTAATTAATATAGCATTAAAATAATTTATTAACTAAATCCCCATAATTGACTTGCTTAAAAAAAATATCTTTAGAAAAATAATAATTCATCTATTCCTCCATGTGACAATTCTTAATACTTCCCAACTCTATTTCTCTCATTCACATCATTAATAAGAATATTTCCTTCAAATCATCCAAAAATCTCCAAAAAGTGTTTACTTTAACTCTTAGAGAAATAATCATGTACCATCTATGCCTCTAATTATTATTAAAATCCTATTCCCTTCTTCCATTAATCATTTCCCATTCATTAGAATCAATAACTTATAATATTTTCCTCAATTTACTCCAAACACCCAACTTCCACTACTTAAAGTCTCTCCAAGAATCATCAACATTACTATCTCAACAACAACCCTCAAAGTTTAAGCATTGGATCCTCAATATAACCTCAAATGAACTCAACTAAGAGATAAATTTCGAAATTAATATCATCATTAACACAAATCACCATTTCCCAACCAAACACTAACTTATATTGTCTCAAATCAACCATCCAACTAAAATCTAATCATAAGACTCTTATTCTAACCACATAAGCTCTATTAATATCCTAATACTAAATTAGAAGCCTTAAAAATTAAAAATCTAACAAGCCCTAAAAATATTCATTCTGCCATAACTTAGAAAATAAAAGAATAAGCTAAATAATAAAAAAATTTAGGATGAAGATGACTTACATAGATATCTTATATGTACCCAAGTACAGCCCTTCCTTTCTCACACACTCAAACCACCTCTCACACCCACTCACTGTCGCGGCACGGCGAGGACGCGGACCAGAGGAAAACAAACGAAGCGGAAAGGGGAGGGGGAGAAGCATCTGAAAGTGGGGGTACGTGTACCCCCCACTTGAAATGAAATTTTTTTTTTTTAATTAAAGAGGGCCACGGCCCAACGGGGGCTTACACCCCCCCTCCGGCAGTGGGTGGCCCACGTGCCACCCACTTGCCTTTTTATTTTATATATATATTTTTAATTTTTTTAAATATTTATTTATTTTTTTTTTATATAATTTATATGTATATCACAGAAATTATGATTTACAATTTATTCAATAGGCTTTAATATTAAATATTATGAATTAATCTCACCCATATAACCTAAATCCTATAATAAGAAAAAAATGGAATGTTACAATAAATATGTCTATTCACATTTCACTAAACTACACTGAGGTCTCTTGGGATTCCAAGGCAATTATTAGATTTCCAAGGATATTTTGTAATATTTTTCCTTCTGTGGAACCTCATTGTCATTTTCCCTAAAAAAAATCCACATCTACATTAACCTCATCTCCTTTTCACTTCACCCAAAAAAAATAAACCAGAAGGAAAATATCATGCATAACAATCACCCAAAAGACTAGATCCCATTAAAACAAAAATCAAACACTTAAAAGAAGAAATTAAAACCCCCAGTGAAACCAAAAGTCAAGCTCCTACTTGTCTCCAGAATTGGAGTGGTAAGGTGATTGTGAAATCAAAAGCCGCCCAATGAAATCAAAATCATCATAGATTAAAATAAGATGACTCTCTATCAAGATTATTTCAATGGCATTTTTTTTTTACTTTTAAAGAATATCTCATCCATAACACTAAAAAAAACAACAAATTAGCAACGGAATTTAGTAATGAAATTTTCATTGCTAATCAAAATTAGTGACGAAATTCAGTTAGCGAACAAATTTTTCCATCACTAATTCCCCATTACTAATTATAATTAGCAAGGGATTAGTGATAGAAATTAGTGACAGAAAATCCATCACTAATAAGAGATGGATATCTCACGAAAATTTTGTCACAAAATAGTGATAGATTTATAATAGAAATTCTGTTATAAATTAGTGACCAAACCACATGACAACTACCACATATCATCACCACCCTCCACCTCGCCACCCATTCTCCCTCCCCCATGTTGCCACATCATCCTCTCGTCCACGTCATCATCTCGTTGCCACATTGTTGTCTTTTCTCTCTCATGATGCCACGTCATCCCCTCGTTCATGGTATTGCCACATGTCCATCGTTTTGAGTTGCCAAGTCATCGCCTTGTCCATGTCATCGCCCACATCACAAATTCTTGTGCGAAATTTTTATGCAAAATAAATATATATAATATTTCTAATTAAAATACAAATATATATGTAATAAATATTATATATAATTTAATATATTATTATATATTTCAATTTATTTTTTATTTTATAAAATAATTAATGATTAATATTCTTTAGTGAAATATTAAATAAAATAATAATTATATTATATTTATTATTTTATATTTATTTATAATATTTGGATTTTTATCTATTAATATATTATTAAAAATTATCATATATTATATTTTTATTTTAATAATAAATATTAAAAATAATTGTTATATATATTTATATTGTCGTTTTTGTATTCAAATATTAAATCAAATAATATTATATTATATTTTTTATTTTTTATTTTTATTTATAATATTTCTATTTTTATCTATTAATATGTTATTGAAAGGTTATCATATTTCTATTTCTATCTACTAATATATCCATTGCTAACAAGTGCATATAGCTAGGTTAGCTTCTATATTAGCGTTTTAGTCAAACCAACGGTCAACGTGATAGGGATTAACGATGATGGTATTTTTCTCTCATTTTGAAAGTTTATGGTTATTGTTACACTTCCAAAAAGATTATGATAGTGAGTACACTTTTAGTATAAGTTTATAGTTATTTTTGTATCTTTACCCATTAACTTTTTATTCTTCTTAGAAAAAGTTGTCATTTTACCTTTTTCTCCCATTCAAAGTTAAAATAAAAGGATAAAGTGTATCTAACATCCTGATCGTGTTTTTTAGATGCACCTAATATGCTAAACCTTTTTAGTGGTACATTTTGTTTATGATCTATCAAATTTTGTGCAATTTCACCTATTTTACAGTTTTCTGAAATTATTGTAATTTGGTTATTTTCTATAAAAGTTGTTAATAATTTAATAAAAGGAATCAAAATTGTTAATTTGAACTATTCGGATGAATAAAAGGAAAAAGGTCATTTTAAATAAAGGGTTTGAGATGCATTTAGTAGCCTAAAATATGTTTTTAGATACATTCAGTATCCTAAAGATTTGTGATATATTCAGCACTCTGAAAGTCTGAAGTATTTTTTTTATGTGCGTCTAACACTCTAAATTATATTTTAGTGTGTATAACACTCTAAATTGATAAGTGTAAAATTGCATTAAAAATAACTGAAAAAATATTCCAAAGTATTAGATGCATTACAAAATACTTTAAAATATTAGATGCATCTAGAAAAATACTTCAACATGTTGGATGCACTTTAATCCTTAAATATTAAGGGTGAGATTTCACCAAATTTAAATTATTATGAGTAAAATTGCATTACTATAAAAGATTATGATGCCAAGTTAAGAAATAAAATGACTTGCCCGCTGCTATTTTACCCAAAATGAAAATACAATAAATAGCTAAAAAATTTTGACATTGAATCGACGTCGTTCCCTCTAGTCAAATTTACGACCACACCAGGCCGAGCCGAGCTGAGCCTATCGACGTCGTCGTCTCGATGCAACCTAAAAAGATCAGGGAAAGGGCGAGAGAATTGTCGAACAGCCACACTGAGCCCGAGACCTTCGAGCCAACGGCACACAGAAGATGGAAGTATCTGTAACGTATGCGGCCTCGACGTCAAGGCCTGTGTGCTTCAACAATGGTCTATTACACTCACAAATTCGTTCATTTACTCCCATTAAGACCACTGATTCCATCGCTATCGGTCGCAATAGCAAGGGAAGAAGAAAATCCATTCCTGTAGCTAACGCCTTTAATGGATCCACTATCCCCAGACACACCTTGTCGAGCAATTGGGATGTTGACCTTTGCCAAAATTACTCTGTACCTGCAGCTCCATGGCTTCCCAGATTCGAAGAGCTCGACACTACTAACATGCTTCTCCGTCAGCGAATCATCTTTTTGGGTTCTCAGGTTGCGTTTTAAACATTCTGCTATTCCTTTCTTTATGTATATGTTTACCAGCAAGCATTGACACGTCATGATGCTGATATTGGAACAGGACAAGATTTTTTTTTTTTTTAAGTTTTGGTGCTTCACGGTCTGTTGATTGATGATTTATTTCCTTATAGGGGAGAATTTGTGTTATCCAAACTCTATGCTGCTTTCATTATGCTGACACTTGTATGCGTGTTTTGATATATTTTTATTATATTTAGAGAGTTCCACTGGCCAAGCCCCTTCTTCCCTTTACCTGTGACTAAAAGAAGGTAGAATAAGAAGAAGCAAATATTAGATACCAAGCATATAAAAGGAACTATCATATAGTGTTTGATTTTTTACTTGAGCAGGTGGATGACATGACGGCAGATTTTGTAATTAGTCAGCTGCTGTTTCTGGATGCTGAAGATCCCAAGAAAGACATTAAGTTATTTATAAATTCACCCGGTGGCTCTGTTACTGCTGGTATGTCAATTAAGTTTTATACTCTTGTTCAGCTCTCTTGGACCTTAGCTTCTGTTTATAATCTTATCCCTGAATATCTCCAATTTAGAGTCAAAATCAACATTTTCATATGATAGGTTTTGAACGGTAGAGCCACAATTTGTTAAAATAAGAGGCTTATTCATGAACCGAATATGCATTTGACCTGAAGTCATGTTTGTATTTGGCAGCTCACAAATTCTAGATTTGTTTGTACCCGACTTGAGTCTTCAGGCTCAAATGTTGGTGGTTTGTTGCTTATGAAAGTTGCGTGCAAAGACACTTCATCAGTAGCCTACTGAAAGAAATTTACATGAATCAAGCTTGTTTTAAAATCAACCAAGTTTGGGTGAATCTTATGGCTAACTGTATTTATTTATTTATTTTTGGTTTGGCAAGCTATTGCTTGCAGACACGGATTTGAACCCCCTAAGAAGTGCCACTCACCACAAAGGTGCTGGCAACTGTATTTAAGCCCAACATTTTGTTGACTAATCTGTCAGAGATGCTAAATCATATTCGGGGAAATGTGTAGCTCATTATATCATATGGTAAGTTCTTTTGACAAAGAAGGAATGTATGAAAAAAAGATAGGAACTAAGTTTTTACTGAGACGATGACCTTAAAATTTGTTCTCTTTTTTATATTTACTAGAGCTAGGTAGATATTGCCAACAAATTTTCAGTAACCTATGAACGGCATTTTAAGAGTTTGATGAGAGGACAAGGTTGGTCTCTTAATGAATGACATGCCCAAAATGTAACCGTAGATTAAGTCTGACACTACTGACTGCTCCTTTTTGTGAAGGAATTTCATTTAAGATTTAGATGAGTGCAATGTCTTGAAGAATTTAACAATTATGTAGTTCAGATTGAGGACATGATCACCAAGCATTAGCTGAGAGGGGAATGAACCTAGCATGACTCTCAAGCTTACGGTATCTTCAAAAACATAAGCAAAGCCTGATCACAGTGATTTGCGATTCATTTTCTCAATTCTTCTAGAAAGGAGACACTCGTCATGTTTTAAAGGAAAACCATATTATTTCAATCACTCTGTAATTAAAAAGCATATCTTACCCTTTCAAATTCTGGGTAGTACTGTGGAATTGTAGCCGATAACCTTTATGATGTCCTCCTGTAAATGAACGTAAAATCTGCTATATCCAAATGCAGTGTATGCTTACAGTGTGAACATGAGTCATGATGAGGTTGGTCAACAAATCATGGTCAACTGAAACAAACTCTATGGTGGAGAGTAAGGTAGTATGTGATGCCTAATATCCTTATGGAGTAATATGGGATGCACTATGGGATATTTAAGTAGGTTGGTTCTCTCACATCAATAGCTAGCATTTAGGGAGGGTTCTTTATCCAACTCAAGTCCCCATCAATTGGCATGAGAGTTGGTGGTCAAATTGTTCTAGAAATGGCTACTTACGAGAGTTTTGAGTAAAGTGTTGTAGAGTGTAGCTGCTAGGATGCTAACTCTCCAAGGGGGGCCAATTGGTGGGGACGAAAATAGTATGGGATGTTCAAATCCCACAGAGTAATATGTCACACACTATAGGATTCTTAAGGGGTTTGTTTCTCCTAGAGCTAGCTTTTCGTGGAGTGTTTCCCATCCCTCTTGAGTGCCCATCACTTTCTTGAAAAGAACCATGCGGTCATTTCAACTAAATAAAGTATGTAGGTTTATTCCATCCAATGATTCTGAAATAATGTAGATCTTCTGCTGGCAAGATTCCTCTGACCTCATTTATCACTACATACAGGAATGGGAATTTATGATGCCATGAAGTTATGTAAGGCAGATGTTTCAACCATTTGCCTCGGGCTTGCTGCATCCATGGGTGCATTTATCCTTGCTTCTGGTACTAAAGGGAAGAGGTTTTGCATGCCAAATGCAAGAGTAATGATCCATCAACCACTTGGAACCGCTGGTGGAAAAGTAAGATCACTTTTGCTGGAGTTGTTTTCCATTCATTTTCACTGAAAACAGAAAAACATGGCTGAAAAAGAATTTGTTCAGATTTAACGTCAAAATCACATGAAAATAGGAAATCAAATGCCAGAAAAACACTTGTACCACTTCCAGACCATTGATAATAGAAACATTGGATTTTATACAGATTCAAATGTTTACTCCCAAAAATAATATATACGTACACAAATATCGAAGAAGTAAAAACCCATTCAACCTGTAATATATATATATATATATATATATATATATATAACAAAAAAAAGTTATTTTGAACATGAAACTCAGAAGATTTGTTGGGAGAAGATATTCAGCTTTAGGAACAAAAAGTATTTCTTGGAGAAGCTTCCAAGAGAGCTTGGTTATTAGTTTTGCCAGCCAACATTTAAAATTCATAATTATAATTTGAAAGAGCAGTATGCAAAAATTTTAGAAAATAAATAAATTGTCTAATATAAACAATGTGTGTGATTACATTTTACCCATTAGCTTCCAAAGATAAAATTAGGAAAAGAAAAGAATTGAAATGGCAACTTTTTTTGCTTAGAGTCTCAGATCTCCTGTGAGAATCATTTACTTACTGTGAAATTTGTACTTTTTCATTGGATTATGGGCAGAAAAGTTATATGTTAAGTAACCATCTATGCAAATTTAAAAAATGGCTAACCAAAAAAAAAAAAAAAATAGAAAGAAAAAAAGAGAAAGAAATCTTACTTGCATTGTTTTGGCAAGTTATTGGAGGAACCGAATTCTGTCAATATGAAAATGTTATGCAATAATGAATGTTGTTGCTGCAAATGACTATGAAGGCTTAATGATGTTGGTGATTTAACGTAGACAAATGTCCTTGGCTAATTACTAAATAATCATCAAATAAATTAAAATCATCAAGTTTTTAGGGCTTAAAATGTATATTTAGACTTTCTTGGTGGTATTTGTCTGTAAAGGATTTGCAACTTCTCTGGCCTAGCGCAGCTACAACATGTCATTTAAAAACAAAATACATAGAATTATTTTGAGCCTATAATGATAGCTGCAAGAGCTTATTATGCTTCAGATTAAGCCTCTTGCTTTATTTTGCACATGTCGTGACCTTCTCTGCCTGGCTTAGATTTACTTAATGAACTGTTAAGGGTGACATCTGTCTCGATCTTGACCAATGAAATCCTAGATTCGCATGCCTTTCTTCTTGGTATATATGGCAGTGGGTGTGGCATAAATTTGATCGATTGGACTAATAAAACCTTCAGCTAATGATGATATTCTGGTATAGTGATATTACAAACCGGGCCTGCATAGATACTTGCTTCCTTAATAGAAGCATTTTACCTTGAATTCTTTTGTTAAACTTTCCCTTGCATCCACTAAATGGTAAATGCAATTACAGGCTACAGAAATGAGTATTCGTATAAGAGAAATGTCATACCACAAGATTAAGATCAACAAAATACTATCAAGAGTGACTGGGAAGTCTCTGGAGCAGGTTAGTTATCAACCTCCTCATCTTATCAGTAATTCTGTTCAATATCACATATTTTTCACCAATTCATTCTTTTAATCTACAGGTTGAAGTGGACACTGACCGTGATAACTTTATGAATGCTTGGGAAGCCAAGGAATATGGATTAATTGACGGGGTTATTGATGATGGCAAGCCAGGATTAATTGCACCAATTGCTGATGCATTGCCGCCACCAAAAACCCGTGTATGGGAACAGTGGAAGGTTGAAGGAGGCCGAAAAGCGAGAAAAAATTTGCCCTCAGAGCATAAGTTTTTGCAGAATGGATATAAAGGAGGCCAGGGAAGTGATGGTGATAAAGGCCCTGAACAGGCAAAGGAAGCACCTACAGCAGTATGAGTTGATAAAGATTTTATCTTGTTTCTGTACCCTGTAGCTCTCCTTAAAGTTAATTCATATTTGTTATCTACGTCAGAATATAAATGGGATTTCACTTGCCCTGGCAGTCACAAGCCATGCAAGATCTACATTGTACAATAGTTAAGGGGAACCTTTCTGGGTGCCTAGGCTGATTCTCTAGTTGTTTTCTTAATCTTTTTGCTGAATGGTGAGTCCAGTTGGTTTTCCTGTTCTCCTGAATTTTGTTGCTCAGCAATCCTTTGGTAGGTAGGGAACCTCTGAAGAAACTTCATAATAAACCCCCCACACCCAAAAAAAAAACACAGAAAAAAAAAATCCCCCCTTTAAATTATTTTCTTCTTTTGTCATTGGAAGGTAAGCTCTCAAGTACGTCGGGTAATGTTTACTCTCGAGGTGACTACTTTTTTTTGGCCCGTATTAAACCCAGTATTCTAAGGATATGTTTAAATTAGCAATGACAAAATTGATTTTTATTTCACTTGACTTTTTATACGTGAGTTAGAATAGAAGCTAATGTAATGTGATTTATATTTGGATAATCAGTTTGATAGATTGAAATTTGTTTAGATAAGTAATAAAAAAGTAATTTCAGATATAAAATGACTAAAGGATATTGTTTTTTTTTCAAACTAATTTACCTAATTTATAAATTGATTTATAATCTAGTATATATATAAATATTTCAGAAAGGTCATGTAGCAAAAGATATAATTAAGTAATTTATTTGGTTTCCATAATCTCTTCAAATTAGTCCATCGAGTCTTATATTAGTATCTCATATGTATATAATTTGATAAATTTAAGAAAAATAATAAATAAAAATAATTACATTATTACTAAAAAAAATTAAATTATTGAATTAAGACATAACGCACTTAAATATCTTTATCTTTCTTTTCATTTTCATTTGCTTTCTCTCTTCATGTTTGGTAACTGTAAAAGCTCAAAATTTGAGCGTTCCACCGCAGCCAACTTTTAAAGCAAAAGTTGGTTAGACAAAAAGCTCACCTAAACAATCCAAAAGCTCCAACCCGCTCACAAACTTCTGTTTCATCAATTCCAATACATGTTTTCTCCCTCAGAGGGCAATCCAAACAGGTGCTAAGTGTGCCTCACTTAAACTGGAAAATCTAACCAGGTCCAGGCTAATTCCATTGAAGTGGGTAAAATCAGAGTGGCAAAGATCTCTTGTCAAGCATCTAACGTGGTTGCATTTTTAAGACTGAAATTTTTAGTTAAGTTGGTACGGCCAGTTAAGTTGATCCAAGTGTCTGCTGGTTAAGGTTACTATGTCATTGGCATCCGTCTAATTGAACAACGTTTTAACCATAAAATTACAAAACTGGACCCGGAATTTCCCACCGTTTGATGCGTTCATGTGCTGAATGGGTTGCAAATTCAAGCCTTTTAAGCAGGGAATGTACTGTTGCTCATAGGAGTTTAAAGCCCAAGAAACCTGTCATGATATATGTCTTTTCTCCGGTAAGTAAATTAGGTCTAATAGAAAGAAATACTCTCTTACAATAGCTAATTGCTTATATTTAATACCTAACAATATCTCAAATATAATTGTCACTAATTGAAGGATATCTGTACTTCGGGGGAAAAAGTGGATTTTCATCATATTTGGTTGCATTAACATTACTTTTCTTTGTCCGCAAAAATATACTCGTATGCTGTATTGCAGAAAGTATTGAATAATAAACTACATTGTTGGCCCCAAAAGAAAACAAGGAACTGCATTATTCCCATATTCTAAGTAGCATAATTTATTAGAGTTTTTACATTTTATAGTACTGTCCGTGCTATGATAATGATTATTCATGTTTTGTTGCCTTTATATATGCACATATTTCTCCATGTATTGCACTGGCTACGACGAATGAAATGTACTCCTCTAATCTGAAATGTAAGAATTAGTTAGGGAGTTAGTTTTGATCCTAAATATAAAATTTTAATCTATTTTATCTTTTATGTATCAATTTTTTTAAAACTAATTTGTCTAACTTATAAATTAAACAAATGATGTTTTAGAAAAATTATATCAATTTTGTTAAATTAAATTATTTATTTAATTTTTTTAATCTACCTAAATTAGTTAAATGCTTTTTTATATCAAAGATCAGATGAGGAATATTCATGATTTAAAAAATAAATCTTGTCATTAAATTTGATTGTTAATGTTGAATGATTCATTTATAAGAAACACATGAATGCCTTTCACTTGTCTAAAATTTGTATCAAGATTCGAGCCATATTTCATAAGTATAGCGCATGCTGTATGAAACGTCCTGCCCCTCAAAGTACGTATTTAAAAGAGTTACAATTCAAACGCATAACAAAACAAGCCTGTGGATTAAAAATTTAACATTTGTTTCTCATGTTATTATTTACTAGTTAACTTCCAGATTTTCAGTCTAATTTTGAAAAATCATAAATAATTAAAAAAATTGTATTGAGGTGATTCAAAATTCTATATGAATCTCTTTAAGTTCTCTACAAGGAAAAAATATAAAATTGAACTTAACCCTTATTAATTCGTACTGTTTATTCATTGAAGTTTACTGTTCATTTGATGAAAACTATACTTTCTAGTTTCTTTACCCTAACTTTGATCAAGCATCACTTTTAGCACACACATCTATTTTAAGTAATCCACCACTTGTCTAAAGCTTAGGATGTGTAATTTAACCATTCCAAATTTCATTAGCAGAATTAATTATTTGCTACACTTCCACTCTGTCACTATTTCATGACTAATTTAAGGATAACTTATGCCCCTTACTTGCATTAACAATTTATGATTAATTCATTTCATATATAATATCATTCCATTCATGCATTAGCCATTTCCATGCAGCATTATAGCCAATTATACAAGCCATCTTCATCATTTATCATCACATACCATCAATGGCACATATATAACATACATTATTATATAAATTATACAGTGTAATACGATAAGCTTCTTCAATTCTTTTCCTCTTTCCTTGGTTCCATTTCATGTATCCTATGCTTGATCATTATCACCTATTATGGTTGGTTAAGGAAGAGTGAGATACGGGAGAATCTCAGTAGCAAACATTATCATTAGGCATGCAAGATGAATGCAAGTGCATGATACGCTTACTTGATCTAACTCATGCTTACTTATAACATATTTTCATGCTCAATGTTTCATATTAACATGCATGACTATGGAAAACATCAATGAAACAAAGAATCATACTAGCATTAACACTTCATAACATCATCAAATCACATAATGCACATCAACACACAAACATACACATCAAGTGTAATATCCTAAAGTTTATTTTAGGATTCAAAAAAAAAGATAATATAATATTTTATTATTATAATAATAATATTTTAAAAAAAAAGGGTCAAACTTTCTACTGAAATACAATGGAAAGTTGGGCTTGGGGTTGGGTTTGAAAACCCCCCCCCCCAAAAATAAATGGGGGTGTTAAAATAACCCCCCACACTTTTGTTTTGGTCGGGCACAGGAAAGGGGAAAAAAAAAGGAAAGAGAGATTAGAATGTGCGTGAGAGAGAAGAGCATACCGGTGAAAGAGAGGACAAGTTTTGAAGATAATTTAGATATCTGAAATTACTTCATTTCATCAAACTTTCTTTATAAATATTTCATATATATTCTATGATTCCTAATTGTAGTATTAGTATAGTGATTAAAGAAAATTTTGAGACTTATATGTGGGATAAGTTTTGAGTTTTGGTAATAGAGGATTATAGAAATTTAGAGGTAAATGAGTTGTTAATTTTAAGCAGTTTAGTTTTATCCATTTGTTGGTTTTTAGTACTTAAATTAATTTTTCTAGGTAAAAGATCTGTTATATATGATTTATATCATATTTTTACCGATTAAAATTTATTTAAATAATTTATTTGGGTATTTTTACATATTATTGAGATTTTAATTGGTTTATTTTTATTTATTAGGCAATTGGAGGTTTTAAAATAATTATTTTAGCTAAAAAGGTTTATTATTTATGGAAATATATATATTTATATCTTATAATTATGCCATTAAAGTTTTAATCAGATTATTTATTTATAAATATTTGAAGTATTACTAAATTTTTGATAGTTTGATTTTGAGATTTAAACTTAAAATGAGATTTGAGAATTTAGAACGTAATAATCTTATATTTGAAAATTCTGGAAAATTCCTTTTAGTAAGGTAAATAATTCGGAGGTTGTAAATAAATAATTTGGCTTTTAGAAAATTTTAAGTTATTTCTAAAATACTTAACTTTGGGTTATGAGAGTTGTGAAAATTTAGAATAAAGAATTATATAGCTTATATTAATTGTGTAGATTAATTATTGGTTAAGCAAAGGATAGACCTTGTGGTAATCCTTTGTCTTGCTTCGACGAGAGGTAACCACTTTCCACTTGTTATATGTGCTAATATGTTGTTTGTGAGTATTTTGCTATTTTGTAATAATATTTGTTATTTGAAACTCGAGTAGATATGTTATATTTTTTGAGCTATGAAAATTATCTTGTGGGATTTTTGAAATTGTGATCGAGAAGTTTGGAAAAGATATATGATTTATATCTTATGGATTATATAGGGAAGAGATTGAGACATTTTTGTTATATTGTGAATGGTTGGTTGTCGTTTGGATTTTGGATTGAGCTCTATCCTACCACGTGGTAAGGCCGTCATTGGTGCATATTGGATGGCTTCCTTCATCCCTAGAGTAAGGGATAAACCTTTGTGGCTTTTTATTCGTCCCCCTAAGTGTGGGATAGGCCTATAATAAGGGATGGGCTTTTGGGACTACTTATTCGTCCCCCAAAGTATGGGATAAGCCTATATGTCAAATTGATTCCCTATAGTGAGGGATAGATTTATGTGGCTTGTGTGTTAGCCCCCATAATGAGGGTTTGGATGATTGGGATAATTTGAATATACATATTTGTATTTTCATTGATATATATATTGAGATTTAATAATTGTCTCACTTGACACCTCACGAGCACATGTTAGTATGTATGATGAGTTGGAAAGTTGGTTATTGAGGCATTTGTCTCACCCTGTGATTTTTACTATCTTTAGGTGATAGTTCAGGTGGTGACCCATCAGGGAAGACTCTGGAGGCATAATGTGCTGTTATAGCTTGTTTAGCCTCCTTGTTTTTATTCTGTGTGTTGACTTGTTATATATTGCCACATAAGGCTCATCTACTTTATTGTTGTAAACTATTACTTTTAATTTCTACTTTCTGGTATGATAGAGCCGCT